CGTTACTGATGTTTATACATTACTGATGTTTATATGTTACTGATGTTTATACATTACTGATGTTTATACGTTACTGATGTTTATACGTTACTGATGTTTATACGTTACTGATGTTTGTATGTTAAATCTGAGCTTATGTAATAAAGAGGATTTGGGAAAACAAGTGTGTCTTTCATGTTGATCAAGTATTATTGGTATATCTGTTAGGGATGAGGTTTTTAACTGTTATTAACTGTCATTTTTGAGAACACTAGGATGGATAGATAACATTTTCACTCCTCCCCTCTTTCCCTCCCTCTTTCCCCCCTTTTCCCCCCTTTTCCCCCATGCCTAGCAGTCCCTTTTGCCCTGTTTTTCAGCAATAGGTTAAGTTGATGGACTGCCAATCTGCTGTGCACAGTCTGGATTTGAATCAAGAAGACTTTTAATGCAGGTTTAATGCAAGTTCTCATTCGTAGTTTGACAGACAATACTGTCCAAATTAAACACCATTACATTACAGGAAATAGAAGCACTGATTTCATCAATAAGTGCTACTCTTTGGGGCAGTCTCAGCTGTGTATTTGACATTACTTACTTTGTGTGAGTCCTGCGATAGCTGCGGCTGAAAGTCACCCTAATTGTAGCACATTTACTGCAGTTTTAAAGTAAGTGCTAACAAGCTGGGGCAACTTTCAGTGAATTTGGACACCACAAATGTGGAGTGTGAAACTATAATCACATTCATTGTTGTTGAGATTCTAACTAAAGTGTTTCTCTTTATAAATATCTATTAAAATTCTTGCACATAATCTTAAGTGAACCATGTGTTGAATTCTCTTAGACCAATACTTTTAATACATCAGTGAGAGCATCATTTGGCTGTGTACCTACTCTCAACCTAGCGTGATAACTGCCTGTCAACGTGTGAATGACCTGGTTCATTCACAAGGAGTGATCTGCCATCATCACTTCTATTGTCACATTGGCTTCTGTGGGTTGGACTGTGAATCATCTCAATTTACGATCAGACTCCAAGCATTGCAATGAACATCACTTGACTCAGGCCCCTCAGAATGAAAAAGTGGTCAACTGGTAAACTCTCAGTGGACAACTTCTAGGAAAGCAGGCATGCACTGATTACATTTGTCATGGTAAACATGGCAGGAGAAGATGCAAAGAAGTAGACCACCTATCTGTCTTATTGTCACCGTTGATATCCTATCAATGGCTCTGACCTTCCTGAATGGTAAGTACTATTTGTTGGGGTGATGTTGGGTGATTCAATCAACTAAAGATACTATATTTTTGTTTACAATGTATTAAACGTTAAACAGTTTGGACAACATCCAATACTTTCAAAAGAAATCACAATTCGATTACTCCAAATAGGAGCAACTTGATTTGCATTACATTCGTAAGTGCTTCTCGTTGGGGCAGTCTCATCTGTGTATTTGACTTTACTGTCTCTGTGACTGCTGCAATGTATCTCTGGATGTTACCCCAATTGTATCACATATACTTCAGTTTTAATGTGATTTTCTGAAAGCCTTGATACCTTTCAGTGACAGCAATAATATGAAATTACTGTCTTCTGTGACTGCTGCAATGTATCTCTGGATGTTACCCCAATTGTATCACATATACTTCAGTTTTAATGTGATTTTCTGAAAGCCTTGATACCTTTCAGTGACAGCAATTATATGAAATGTTGAAACGGTGACATTTTTTCACTTCATACAGATTAAGTTGAACTGTTCCCAGTGAATTTGGTGAAATTTATTCTGCCAACTGTGTGTTTGTTTGTTTTTTCTTCACATGAACTATCATCAGAGCTATTGTCCCTTTCCTTTTGATGCTGGGCAGATCCTGAACATTCATTGGAATGACACCCGGACTCAGAATGAAAAGCATTGCATTTGTTCAATTGGCAAATTCTCAGTAGAATAGCAGGTATGTAACAACTGTGAACAGCAATTAATGCACAGTGAGGAAGATTGTCACTAATGCTAGCCAAGTACTGGCCTGTCTGAAAGGCAAACCAAACTTCAGACGTAGTTGGCAGGAGTCGAACCCGCGCGGGGAGACCCCAATGGATTTCTAGTCCATCGCCTTAACCACTCGGCCACAACTACATAAAACAGCCTTGCTTCATCGTTCGACCAATGTCTGAACGTATTCCCATGCAATTTGTTTGAGAAATGTATAGGCTTCACTTAGGGACCCTGCTCAGGTATTTCGGCAACAAAGCAGTGGAGTTGGTTCTTTCTATCATTAGTGGTTAGTCCCACAAAAAAAACCGCGAACCCCCCCCCACAACCAAAACACCAAAAAAAAAAAAAAACAACACCCCCCCCCCCCCCCCCCCCCCAAAAACCACCGAAAGAAAAAAAAAAAAAAACCCCCAACACAACAACACCACCCCCCCACACACAAAAAAAAAAAAAAAAAAAAAAAAAAAAAAAAAAAAAAAAACAAAAAAAAAAAAAAAAAAAAACAAAAAACACAACCACCACCCCAACAACCAAAAAAAAAAAAAAAAAAAAAAAAACCAAAAAAAAAAAAAAAAAAAAAAAAAAAAAAAAAAAAAATTACATTTAGTGTGAATGGTTGAGCGGCGGGCCTAACCATTCTATTGGACCGTCTTTACAAGCCTTAGCAGGAATGGAGCGTAAGACAGGGCTTAAGTGCAACTCCTTGGCCAAGCATCTTTTCAAGCCTTTTCAAGCCATTTCTAACCCCAACCCTAAGCTGTACATGATGTGAAAGAAAACGTGATTCCTCAGACCAAGCCACCTTCTTACTGCTCCACTGTCCTGTGCTGATGCTCATGTGCAGTTTCTATGAGCTTTTGATGGAAGAAACTGGCCAGCATAGCTAGTGTAGAGGCCACCATTTTCTTGGTTTTCGTCCCTGGTTGTCTAGTGGTAAGGATTCGGCGCTCTCACCGCCGCGGCCCGGGTTCGATTCCCGGTCAGGGAATGGTGTTTTATCCACCGCTGGCCAAATTAACATTTAAAAAGAAACCATATCACACAGAGAAATCCGTCCTTCGAGCCGCTCTACCAACTGAGCTATCGGAGGTGAAGCGAAGCTCAATCCATGTATATCTATAAAACCATTCGGTATATCGATATATAAGGTGCGAATTTATCCCAACTGAGCAAGCCACTAAGTGGTGACGGTGGCAAGGAAAAACTCCCTAAGATGTTAAGAGGAACAAACCTTGAGAGGAACCAGAATCAGAAGGGAACCTATCCTCATCTGGGTAACATCAGATAGTGTGAAAAAGATGATTATGGATTCATATGGAGTCTCTTTGGCCTTAGAAGCAGCTGTAGTCCCAGCAATCTGGAATTGGAGTAGATGAGAGCTCCATCCAGAGGTAGGCCATCCAAAATGGATCAGGTAGGTCCAGAGAGCAGAGGGATCAGGATCTCTAGTATCTCCATAAAATCGGGTGTGGCTCGACAGAAGGAGGGAGGGAGAGAAAAAAATACTAGGACTGTGCTTAGCATAAGAGAAAGTCTAGTCAGGGTAGGCTTGATTAAACAAATACGATTAAAGCCTAGACACTGAGACTGTGCCTGAGTCCCGAACTCTAATTGGAAGACTGTTCCATAAGTGTGGGGCTCCAGAAGAGAAAGCTCATCCTCCTGTTGTAGCCTTCGCTATTCGAGGTGCGAACAAATAGCCTGCATCTTTTGATCTAAGTAGGCGTGGCGGATCATAGAAAAGCAAAAGGTCCGCTTAGATACTGCGCGCGCGAGACCATTTAGTTAATTATGGGTTACTAATAGTATTTTATAATATAAAGTATTTTATAGTTATCTTTGATAAGTGAGCTAGCAAACGAGATCGATTTTCTATTCGAATTTTGCTCTTCACAAGCAAAGCGGCAAAGTGATTTAAGGAAACACTAGACTATTTTTTCTGGAGCCAATAAACGTGTTTGTGCATCTTTATATTCTCATGTTTCTGCCCTTCTTCAATACATTTACTTCAATTAAGTAACTAGACCATTTACAACTTTACATGTACACATTCGATTCAGTTCAAATCAATTTTATTTGTGTAGCGCGCTTTTACAGTGGACATTGTCTCAAAGCAGGATTCGTTTGACTTCCTTTACGTCAATGCAATTTCCCAGGATGGAAGATGTGTTTGGCACGAGCTTGTTTGATGAATGCCAAGGTGCTTTGTTGCTCATCTTCATAAAGATTCTCTGCATTAAGACTCAGGTTCATAGCAGGCTTCAACTTGCACAGGTAAAGCCCCAGTGCAGTTCAAGTCCAGTGCCATATTCTGTTGGCCATCGCGGGTATGGGGCACAGGACAAGGCTTAAGCGGCAAGGGCCTAACCATTCTATTGGTACCGTCTTTACAAGCCTTAGCAGGAATGGAGCATAAGACAGGGCTTAAGTGCAACTCCTTGGCCAAGCGTCTTTTCAAGCCTTTTCAAGCCATTTCTAACCCCAACCCTAAGCTGTACATGATGTGAAAGAAAACGTGATTCCTCAGACCAAGCCACCTTCTTACTGCTCAAGGGTGCAACGGTTAATACACATCATTTAATACTTGACGTAAAACACAGTTACAAAACATTTAACTCAAAGGAGCTACGCCACTCACCAGCGGTAGCAGTCAGTAATTCCAGCAAATATCCTGTTTTACCATTTAATACATTTCTAGTATGTTAAGAGAGATAATACAGTTTAATTGTTAGCTTACATTTAGTGTGAATGGTTGAGCAGCGGGCCTAACCATTCTACGCGGAATGGAGCGAAGACGGGCTTAAGTGCAACTCCTTGGCCAAGCATCTTTTCAAGCCTTTTCAAGCCATTTCTAACCCCAACCCTAAGCTGTACATGATGTGAAAGAAAACGTGATTCCTCAGACCAAGCCACCTTCTTACTGCTCCACTGTCCTGTGCTGATGCTCATGTGCAGTTTCTATGAGCTTTTGATGGAAGAAACTGGCCAGCATAGCTAGTGTAGAGGCCACCATTTTCTTGGTTTTCGTCCCTGGTTGTCTAGTGGTAAGGATTCGGCGCTCTCGCGGCCCGGGTTCGATTCCCGGTCAGGGAATGGTGTTTTATCCACCGCTGGCCAAATTAACATTTAAAAAGAAACCATATCACACAGAGAAATCCGTCCTTCGAGCCGGATTGGAACCAGTGACCTGAGGATGACTAGTTTAAGTACCTACAGTCCTCCGCTCTACCAACTGAGCTATAGGAGGTGAAGCGAAGCTCAATCCATGTATATCTATAAAACCATTCGGTATATCGATATATAAGGTGCGAATTTATCTCAACTGAGCAAGCCACTAAGTGGTGACGGTGGCAAGGAAAAACTCCCTAAGATGTTAAGAGGAACAAACCTTGAGAGGAACCAGAATCAGAAGGGAACCTATCCTCATCTGGGTAACATCAGATAGTGTGAAAAAGATGATTATGGATTCATATGGAGTCTCTTTGGCCTTAGAAGCAGCTGTAGTCCCAGCAATCTGGAATTGGAGTAGATGAGAGCTCCATCCAGAGGTAGGCCATCCAAAATGGATCAGGTAGGTCCAGAGAGCAGAGGGGATCAGGATCTCTAGTATCTCCATAAAATCGGGTGTGGCTCGACAGAAGGAAGGAGGGAGAGAAAAAAACTAGGACTGTGCTTAGCATAAGAGAAAGTCTAGTCAGGGTAGGCTTGATTAAACAAATACGATTAAAGCCTAGACACTGAGACTGTGCCTGAGTCCCGAACTCTAATTGGAAGACTGTTCCATAAGTGTGGGGCTCCAGAAGAGAAAGCTCATCCTCCTGTTGTAGCCTTCGCTATTCGAGGTACCGAACAAATAGCCTGCATCTTTTGATCTAAGTAGGCGTGGCGGATCATAGAAAAGCAAAAGGTCGCTTAGATACCGGTCGAGACCATTTAGTTAATTATGGGTTACTAATAGTATTTTATAATATAAAGTATTTTATAGTTATCTTTGATAAGTGAGCTAGCAAACGAGATCGATTTTCTATTCGAATTTTGCTCTTCACAAGCAAAGCGGCAAAGTGATTTAAGGAAACACTAGACTATTTTTTCTGGAGCCAATAAACGTGTTTGTGCATCTTTATATTCTCATGTTTCTGCCCTTCTTCAATACATTTACTTCAATTAAGTAACTAGACCATTTACAACTTTACATGTACACATTCGATTCAGTTCAAATCAATTTTATTTGTGTAGCGCGTTTTTACAGTGGACATTGTCTCAAAGCAGGATTCGTTTGACTTCCTTTACGTCAATGCAATTTCCCAGGATGGAAGATGTGTTTGGCACGAGCTTGTTTGATGAATGCCAAGGTGCTTTGTTGCTCATCTTCATAAAGATTCTCTGCATTAAGACTCAGGTTCATAGCAGGGCTTCAACTTGCAGGCAGGTAAACCCCAGTCCAGTTCATAGTCTTTACATCACACACCACGGTACAAGGCTAGCCAGGGCCTAACCATTCTATTGGACCGTCTTTACAAGCCTTAGCAGGAATGGAGCGTAAGACAGGGCTTAAGTGCAACTCCTTGGCCAAGCGTCTTTACAAGCCTTACCAGGAATGGAGCGTAAGACAAGGATTAAGTGCAACTCCTTGGCCAAGCGTCTTTTCAAGCCTTACCAGGAATTGTGCAATCATTACATTACATTCGTAAGTGCTTCTCGTTGGGGCAGTCTCATCTGTGTATTTGACTTTACTGTCTTCTGTGACTGCTGCAATGTATCTCTGGATGTTACCCCAATTGTATCACATATACTTCAGTTTTAATGTGATTTTCTGAAAGCCTTGATACCTTTCAGTGACAGCAATAATATGAAATTACTGTCTTCTGTGACTGCTGCAATGTATCTCTGGATGTTACCCCAATTGTATCACATATACTTCAGTTTTAATGTGATTTTCTGAAAGCCTTGATACCTTTCAGTGACAGCAATTATATGAAATGTTGAAACGGTGACATTTTTTCACTTCATACAGATTAAGTTGAACTGTTCCCAGTGAATTTGGTGAAATTTATTCTGCCAACTGTGTGTTTGTTTGTTTTTTTCTTCACATGAACTATCATCAGAGCTATTGTCCCTTTTCATTTTGATGCTGGGCAGATCCTGAACATTCATTGGAATGATTGGAATTGAGCGTAAGACAAGGATTAAGTGCAACTCCTGGGCAAAGCGTCTTTTCAAGCCTTTTCAAGCCATTTCTAACCCCAATAAAGTTTATTATTATTATTATTATTATTATTATTATTATAACCCTAAGCTGTACATGGTGTGAAAGAAAACATGATTCCTCAGACCAAGCCACCTTCTTACTGCTCCATGGTCCTGTGCTGATGCTCATGTGATTTTCTATGAGCTTTTGATGGAAGACACTGGCCAGCATAACCAGTGTAGAGGCCACCATTTTCTTGGTTTTCATCCCTGGTTGTCTAGTGGTAAGACCTGTGTTTAAGTTGTATAAACACAATCATACATATATAAACACAATCACGAGCGACGCCCTTAGGAAACACAAGCACATGAATAAGGCAGGTAATCAAACTAAACCCAACACCTGCCGTGAGATCACATTCACACTAACCACACCTGCCCAACTCAACTGCACCCCAGCATGTCAACTACATTATGAACAGTCTTATCAACAAAGTGCAGCATGTCATAAGTGGGATTTGAACCCACACCTCCAGAAGAAACTGAAACCTTAACACAGCGCCTTAGACCACTCGACCATCCTGCCTAAAAGACCCAAAAACTATGCAAAGGAAATTCCAAACTATGCAGGGGCATTTATTTAAACAAGCTCTCAGGAACAGCCCAATACCCCCTCATCAGAGGTGCAGCAAAGGAACCAAATGTCAGAAATGGGATTTGATCCCACGCCTCCAGGGGAGACTGCGACCTGAACGCAGCGCCTTAGACCGCTCGGCCATCCTGACACACTTAAGCTACAGTGTCGTGGACCATGCTCGGGTATAGCCAATACTTTCCAAATAAAGCACAATTAGATTACTTGAAATAGAAGCACTGATTTCATCAATAAGTGCTACTCTTTGGGGCAGTCTCATCTGTGTATTTGTCATTACTTACTTTGTGTGAGTCCTGCGATGTTTCTTGGCTGAAAGTCACCCTAATTGTAGCACATTTACTGCAGTTTTAAAGTAAGTGCTAGCAAGTTGGGGCATAAGCGTGAGCTGTTAGTTTGAAGGGGAAATCAGTGTCAGGTGTTTTCAGTCTATGGCATAACAATCAGGTGTGAGTGAGTACCATGTCTGATTTGAGGAACAGGGATCAGTCAAAGTCTGACCTTCACAACACATGTTTGTTAAAGTGTATCATGCTAGGCAAAAATTTTATTTGTGAGGATCTGGGAAAAGGCTTTCGGATGAGGTGGCCGAGAGGTTAAGGCGATGGACTGCTAATCCATTGTGCTCTGCACGCGTGGGTTCGAGTCCCACCCTCATCGCAGACAGGTTGTTTTGCCTCCACTTTACAACAACCTCTGGCTTGGGTGCAGTCTGTCTCACACATACAAGGCCTACAGGTGACAGGCTCTGGACAGATCCATGAGACAGAACAAGTGTGGGTGGAGAAACATGAAAAGCTAGAATTGCAATGGCAAACAATGTGCATCACATCCTCCTTTATTCTCCACAGACTCCACAGACTGGCATGTAATTTCATAACTGTGAGTTATGTCAGCAATAGGTTAAGTTGATGGACTGCCAATCTGCTGTGCACAGTCTGGATTTGAATCAAGAAGACTTTTAATGCAGGTTTAATGCAAGTTCTCATTCGTAGTTTGACAGACAATACTGTCCAAATTAAACACCATTACATTACAGGAAATAGAAGCACTGATTTCATCAATAAGTGCTACTCTTTGGGGCAGTCTCAGCTGTGTATTTGACATTACTTACTTTGTGTGAGTCCTGCGATGCTCGGCTGAAAGTCACCCTAATTGTAGCACATTTACTGCAGTTTTAAAGTAAGTGCTAACAAGCTGGGGCAACTTTCAGTGAATTTGGACACCACAAATGTGGAGTGTGAAACTATAATCACATTCATTGTTGTTGAGATTCTAACTAAAGTGTTTCTCTTTATAAATATCTATTAAAATTCTTGCACATATGCTTAGTGAAACATGTGTTGAAATCTCTTAGAGCAATACTTTTAATACATCAGTGAGAGCATCATTTGGCTGTGTACCTACTCTCAACCTAGCGTGATAACTGCCTGTCAACGCGGTGAATGACCTGGTTCATTCACAAGGAGTGATCTGCCATCATCACTTCTATTGTCACATTGGCTTCTGTGGGTTGGACTGTGAATCATCTCAATTTACGATCAGACTCCAAGCATTGCAATGAACATCACTTGACTCAGGCCCCTCAGAATGAAAAAGTGGTCAACTGGTAAACTCTCAGTGGACAACTTCTAGGAAAGCAGGCATGCACTGATTACATTTGTCATGGTAAACATGGCAGGAGAAGATGCAAAAGAAGTAGACCACCTATCTGTCTTATTGTCACCGTTGATATCCTATCAATGGCTCTTGACCTTCCTGAATGGTAAGTACTATTTGTTGGGGTGATGTTGGGTGATTCAATCAACTAAAGATACTATATTTTTGTTTACAATGTATTAAACGTTAAACAGTTTGGACAACATCCAATACTTTCAAAAAGAAATCACAATTCGATACTTCAAATAGGAGCAACTTGATTTGCATTACATTCGTAAGTGCTTCTCGTTGGGGGCAGTCTCATCTGTGTATTTGACTTTACTGTCTTCTGTGACTGCTGCAATGTATCTCTGGATGTTACCCCAATTGTATCACATATACTTCAGTTTTAATGTGATTTTCTGAAAGCCTTGATACCTTTCAGTGACAGCAATAATATGAAATTACTGTCTTCTGTGACTGCTGCAATGTATCTCTGGATGTTACCCCAATTGTATCACATATACTTCAGTTTTAATGTGATTTTCTGAAAGCCTTGATACCTTTCAGTGACAGCAATTATATGAAATGTTGAAACGGTGACATTTTTTCACTTCATACAGATTAAGTTGAACTGTTCCCAGTGAATTTGGTGAAATTTATTCTGCCAACTGTGTGTTTGTTTGTTTTTTTCTTCACATGAACTATCATCAGAGCTATTGTCCCTTTTCATTTTGATGCTGGGCAGATCCTGAACATTCATTGGAATGACACCGGACTCAGAATGAAAAGCATTGCATTTGTTCAATTGGCAAATTCTCAGTAGCAGGTATGTAACAACTGTGAACAGCAATTAATGCACAGTGAGGAAGATTGTCACTAATGCTAGCCAAGTACTGGCCTGTCTGAAAGGCAAACCAAACTTCAGACGTAGTTGGCAGGAGTCGAACCTGCGCGGGGAGACCCCAATGGATTTCTAGTCCATCGCCTTAACCACTCGGCCACAACTACATAAAACAGCCTTGCTTCATCGTCGACCAATGTCTGAACGTATTCCCATGCAATTTGTTTGAGAAAAGTATAGGCTTCACTTAGGACCCTGCTCAGGTATTTCGGCAACAAAGCAGTGGAGTTGGTTCTTTCTATGCACAGTGCCATCCTGACACACATAAGCTACAGCGTCGTGGACCATGCTCGGGTATAACCAATACTTTCCAAATAAAACACCATTACATTACTTGAAATAGAAGCACTGATTTCATCAATAAGTGCTACTCTTTGGGGCAGTCTCAACTGTGTATTTGACATTACTTACTTTGTGTGAGTCCTGCGCATGTTTCTCGGCTGAAAGGTCACCCTAATTGTAGCACATTTACTGCAGTTTTAAAGTAAGTGCTAGCAAGTTGGGGCATAAGCGTTGAGCTGTTAGTTTGAAGGGAAAATCAGTGTCAGGTGTTTTCAGTCTATGGCATAACCAAGCCACCTTCTTACTGTTCAAGGGTGCAACGGTTAATACACATCATTTAATACTTGACGAAAAACACAGTTAAAAAACATTTAACCCAAAGGAGCTACTCCACTCACCAGCGGTAGCAGTCAGTAATTCCAGGAAATATCCCGTTTTACCATTAAATACATTTCTAGTATGTTAAGAGAGATAATACACTTTAGTCGTTAGCTTACATTTAGTGTGAATGGTTGAGCCGCGCGGCCTAACCATTCTATTGGACCGTCTTTACAAGCCTTAGCAGGAATGGAGCGTAAGACAGGGCTTAAGTGCAACTCCTTGGCGCAAGCATCTTTTCAAGCCTTTTCAAGCCATTTCTAACCCCAACCCTAAGCTGTACATGATGTGAAAGAAAAACGTGATTCCTCAGACCAAGCCACCTTCTTACTGCTCCACTGTCCTGTGCTGATGCTCATGTGCAGTTTCTATGAGCTTTTGATGGAAGAAACTGGCCAGCATAGCTAGTGTAGAGGCCACCATTTTCTTGGTTTTCGTCCCTGGTTGTCTAGTGGTAAGGATTCGGCGCTCACCACCGCCGCGTCCGGGTTCGATTCCCGGTCAGGGAATGGTGTTTTATCCACCGCTGGCCAAATTAACATTTAAAAAGAAACCATATCACACAGAGAAATCCGGTCCTTGCCGAACCAGTGACCTGAGGATGACTAGTTTAAGTACCTACAGTCCTCCGCCTACCAACTGAGCTATCGGAGGTGAAGCAGCTCAATCCATGTATATCTATAAAACCATTCGGTATATCGATATATAAGGTGCGAATTTATCCCAACTGAGCAAGCCACTAAGTGGTGACGGTGGCAAGGAAAAAACTCCCTAAGATGTTAAGAGGAACAAACCTTGAGAGGAACCAGAATCAGAAGGGAACCTATCCTCATCTGGGTAACATCAGATAGTGTGAAAAGATGATTATGGATTCATATGGAGTCTCTTTGGCCTTAGAAGCAGCTGTAGTCCCAGCAATCTGGAATTGGGTTAGATGAGAGCTCCATCCAGTGGTAGGCCATCCAAAATGGATCAGGTAGGTCCAGAGAGCAGAGGGGATCAGGATCTCTAGTATCTCCATAAAATCGGGTGTGGCTCGACAGAAGGAGGGAGGGAGAGAAAAAAAACTAGGACTGTGCTTAGCATAAGAGAAAGTCTAGTCAGGGTAGGCTTGATTAAACAAATACGATTAAAGCCTAGACACTGAGAGTGTGCCTGAGTCCCGAACTCTAATTGGAAGACTGTTCCATAAGTGTGGGGCTCCAGAAGAGAAAGCTCATCCTCCTGTTGTAGCCTTCGCTATTCGAGGTACCGAACAAATAGCCTGCATCTTTTGATCTAAGTAGGCGTTGGCGGATCATAGAAAAGCAAAAGGTCGCTTAGATACTGCGCGAGACCATTTAGTTAATTATGGGTTACTAATAGTATTTTATAATATAAAGTATTTTATAGTTATCTTTGATAAGTGAGCTAGCAAACGAGATCGATTTTCTATTCGAATTTTGCTCTTCACAAGCAAAGCGGCAAAGTGATTTAAGGAAACACTAGACTATTTTTTCTGGAGCCAATAAACGTGTTTGTGCATCTTTATATTCTCATGTTTCTGCCCTTCTTCAATACATTTACTTCAATTAAGTAACTAGACCATTTACAACTTTACATGTACACATTCGATTCAGTTCAAATCAATTTTATTTGTGTAGCGCTTTTTACAGTGGACATTGTCTCAAAGCAGGATTCGTTTGACTTCCTTTACGTCAATGCAATTTCCCAGGATGGAAGATGTGTTTGGCACGAGCTTGTTTGATGAATGCCAAGGTGCTTTGTTGCTCATCTTCATAAAGATTCTCTGCATTAAGACTCAGGTTCATAGCAGGCTTCAACTTGCACAGGTAAAGCCCCAGTGCAGTTCAAGTCCAGTGCCATATTCTGTTGGCCATCACGGGTATGGGGCACAGGACAAGGCTTAAGTGCAATTTCTTGGATCATTTATGGTTTTATCGTTTATGTTTGATGCTATCCAAAGTGCCAACCGTCTTTCAGCCGCCGTAAGTAGGATTTCCTCGTTAGTATAGTGGACAGTATCTCCGCCTGTCACGCTGAAGACCGGGTTCGATTCCCCGACGGGGAGTCTGTTTGCTAACACCGGTGCTCTATTCTTTTGCACACCACGGAAAAGAACCATGAGACAAGGCTTAAGTGCAATTCCTTGGCTTTTTATGTTTTGGTCATTTCCCACGCGCAAGCGTCTTTACAAGCCTTACCAGGAATGGAGCGTAAGACAAGGCTTAAGTGCAACTCCTTGGCCAAGCGTCTTTACAAGCCTTAGCAGGAATGGAGCGTAAGACAAGGCTTAAGTGCAACTCCTTGGCCAAGCGTCTTTTCAAGCCTTTTCAAGCCATTTCTAACCCCAACCCTAAGCTGTACATGATGTGAAAGAAAACGTGATTCCTCAGACCAAGCCACCTTCTTACTGCTCAAGGGTGCAACGGTTAATACACATCATTTAATACTTGACGTAAAACACAGTTACAAAACATTTAACTCAAAGGAGCTACTCCACTCACCAGCGGTAGCAGTCAGGAATTCCAGGAAATATCCCGTTTTACCATTAAATACATTTCTAGTATGTTAAGAGAGATAATACACTTTAGTCGTTAGCTTACATTTAGTGTGAATGGCTGAGCGGCGGGCCTAACCATTCTATCGGACTGTCTTTACAAGCCTTAGCAGGAATGGAGCGTAAGACACGGCTTAAGTGCAACTCCTTGGCCAAGCGTCTTTACAAGGCTTACCAGGAATGGAGCGTAAGACAAGGCTTAAGTGCAACTCCTTGGCCAAGCGTCTTTTCAAGCATTTTCAAGCCATTTCTAACCCCAACCCTAAGCTGTACATGATGTGAAAGAAAACGTGATTCCTCAGACCAAGCCACCTTCTTACTGCTCAAGGGTGCAACGGTTAATACACATCATTTAATACTTGACGTATAACACAGTTACAAAACATTTAACCCAAAGGAGCTACGCCACTCACCAGCGGTAGCAGTCAGGAATTCCAGGAAATATCCCGTTTTACCATTAAATACATTTCTAGTATGTTAAGAGAGATAATACACTTTAGTCGTTAGCTTACATTTAGTGTGAATGGCTGAGCCGCGGGCCTAACCATTCTATTGGACCGTCTTTACAAGCCTTAGCAGGAATGGAGCATAAGACAGGGCTTAAGTGCAACTCCCTGGCAGCGCGTTTTTCAAGCCTTTTCAAGCCATTTCTAACCCCAACCCTAAGCTGTACATGATGTGAAAGAAAACGTGATTCCTCAGACCAAGCCACCTTCTTACTGCTCAAGGGTGCAACGGTTAATACACATCATTTAATACTTGACGTAAAACACAGTTACAAAACATTTAACTCAAAGGAGCTACGCCACTCACCAGCGGTAGCAGTCAGTAATTCCAGCAAATATCCTGTTTTACCATTTAATACATTTCTAGTATGTTAAGAGAGATAATACAGTTTAGTTGTTAGCTTACATTTAGTGTGAATGGTTGAGCAGCGGGCCTAACCATTCTATTGGACCGTCTTTACAAGCCTTTCCAGGGATGGAGCGTAAGACAAGGCTTAAGTGCAACTCCTTGGCCAAGCGTCTTTACAAGCCTTACCAGGAATGGAGCGTAAGACAAGGATTAAGTGCAACTCCTTGGCCAAGCGTCTTTTCAAGCCTTACCAGGAATTGAGCGTAAGACAAGGATTAAGTGCAACTCCTGGGCAAAGCGTCTTTTCAAGCCTTTTCAAGCCATTTCTAACCCCAATAAAGTTTATTATTATTATTATTATTATTATTATAACCCTAAGCTGTACATGGTGTGAAAGAAAACATGATTCCTCAGACCAAGCCACCTTCTTACTGCTCCATGGTCCTGTGCTGATGCTCATGTGATTTTCTATGAGCTTTTGATGGAAGACACTGGCCAGCATAACCAGTGTAGAGGCCACCATTTTCTTGGTTTTCGTCCCTGGTTGTCTAGTGGTAAGACCGGTGTTTAAGTTGTATAAACACAATCATACATATATAAGCACACTTTCAGGAAACACACAAGCACATGAATAAGGCAGGTAATCAAACTAAACCCAACACCTGCCGTGAGATCACATTCACACTAACCACACCTGCCCGACTCAACTGCACCCCAGCATGTCAACTACATTATGAACAGTCTTATCAACAAAGTGCAGCATGTCAGAAGTGGGATTTGAACCCACACCTCCAGAAGAAACTGAAACCTTAACACAGCGCCTTAGACCACTCGACCATCCTGACTAAATGACCCAAAATCTATGTAAAGGAAATTCCAAACTATGCAGGGGCATTTATTTAAACAAGCTCTCAGGAACAGCCCAATACCCCCTCATCAGAGGTGCAGCAAAGGAACCAAATGTCAGAAGTGGGATTTGAACCCACGCTCCAGGGGAGACTGCGACCTGAACGCGAGCGCCTTAGACCGTCCGGCCATCCTGACACACATAAGCTACAGTGTCGTGGACCATGCTCGGGTATAGCCAATACTTTCCAAATAAAGCACAATTAGATTACTTGAAATAGAAGCACTGATTTCATCAATAAGTGCTACTCTTTGGGGCAGTCTCATCTGTGTATTTGTCATTACTTACTTTGTGTGACTCCGCGCGATGTTTCTCGGCTGAAAGTCACCCTAATTGTAGCACATTTACTGCAGTTTTAAAGTAAGTGCTAGCAAGTTGGGGCATAAGCGTGAGCTGTTAGTTTGAAGGGGAAATCAGTGTCAGGTGTTTTCAGTCTATGGCATAACAATCAGGTGTGAGTGAGTACCATGTCTGATTTGAGGAACAGGGATCAGTCAAAGTCTGACCTTCACAACACATGTTTGTTAAAGTGTATCATGCTAGGCAAAAATTTTATTTGTGAGGATCTGGGAAAAGGCTTTCGGATGAGGTGGTCGCACCGCGCGAACGGACTGGCAATCAGTTCCTAACGCATCCTAACGCAGTTCAAAGAGGTCCTAACAAAGTCCTAACACATTCCTAACAAAGTCCTAACACATTCCTAACAAAGTCCTAACAGTTCCTAACCCTCATGCACCGGGGCAAAACGGCCATTGGTCGAAGCGTAGTGACGTGGAAAATCACGTGATTAATAAACGAGAGAGAAGGAATTTGCAGGAGCCATTTTTCACGATCCTCGGAGAGTACACAGCGCTACACAGATATTCATATATATTTTATAAAGCTTTTTTAAGATTTTTTTTGTACCTTTGGATAGATTCGAGGTGAGTCTGATCATTAATTTAACTAAACTTATTGTTATAGGTGCTTTAATATTGACCTAAATATGAGGCCAGCCATTTATATTGTGCTATGAATGTACGGGCTGCTTTAAGTTATACTATATAGAATAATATTAACAATGACAGCAATAATGACGAATGGAATACAGAGTGGGACAGAGTGTCTGGTGTTTTAAAATGCCGCCAGAGAGAATTCGCGTTTTTTTCTGATGTGAACTCGCGGTTTTTTCTGATGAGCAAACGCCA